CATCAAAGTCAATTCTTATTTAACTATAAGAAACCAAATTAACCTCATCAAACCGCTCATGAGGTCTAATCTTCAATTTAGTGATAGTTGTGTCAAACATGATAGTCAAACCTTCCAAGACATATAATTCGATTTTTACGTTGCTTTTCCTCCAGCATCCAAACAAAAACTGCCATAACTAAAAAGCCTTGTTTCAATCCAAAAGTGGAGTATCAAACTTCATACTTGCCATCCTGATTATCAAACCTTGCTATAAAACGAAACCAAAAATGTTGTCCCATAAAATTGCCAAACATTGGCTCTGATACCACTTGTTAGAAAACTAGCAAGGACTATGTATGCTAAAATACCCCTTGCTAGAAATTGAGCTCTTGGTTGTGAAAAATTACAAATCGCATTGAAACCACTTGTTAACCAATTCAACAAAGTAGTTGCACGTGCTTATACCATTTGTTAGAGAATAGTGAGATATGATAGAATATGAATTAAAGATCACAATACAAGAACGCAAAGAATTAACGTGGAAAACACCATAGGTAAAGGATGAGAATTTTATTCATAAGGAGAAAAAAAATACAATGAATTGTATTCTAATTCTATACAATGAAGTCTAAGACCTAATTCAAAGTCAATAATCACATGAAGTATATATACGACTTAAAGGAATATATTATAGATGGAAAGATGATAAAAAGAAGCTAGAAAAATGAAAACAATATTTCTCGAAATAAAATTGCCGCTTGAGCTACAGGCAAGCACCAGACGCATGACAGGCGGAGCTCGAGCGAAAAAGCAGGCGGTGAGCTTGCATCAACCTAGTGCCATGAACGACTCTCCGGCGCCTTGTTTCGAGTCGAAACTTCGTTTGTTCTTCATGAATGGCGTCAAAGGGCCCAAAATGATGCTCTACTTTGATCCCTCTAATACAATTCTTCAAACGGTCTACCAAAAAACCCAACGGGAGAATAATTTGTTATGGATAAATCCCTAATCTCAGTTACTAGATCATTAATAAATGGAATGAAAAAAAAAAAAAAAAACCACACGGGAAGGTAAACAAACAAAATATAAGGGCTTCACCTCAATGTGAGAGCTGAAGTACAGTAGAGCTATTGATTCTGTTTTCCATTTTTGGCTTAATGCTGCTATTCTTACATATCATGTTTACTTCTTCTTCTCCAACGTAATGCATAATTTTATCAGGATGGCTATACGAAAGAAGTGGCGGGTCGAGAAGCAGTGCCTGTGCTTGTTGCTGTTAGAGCAAAGCCTGATAATGACAATAGCAGCTCCTTAACAAGAGAATTTTATAAAAGCTTTCTAGATGTAAGTTGCAGAATTTTTTCCAAGCAATTCATTGTCTGAATTATATTCAGCACATAATATTTACATTTAATTAAGCTATTGATACCTTATTTTCGTCACTGTTAAAGGTCCTAAACCGGCCTCAGCAAAGCGGGAGGTTCAATTTTACTACACAATTTCTTCATTACAAAGCAATTCTTTACAAACCAGATTTCCAGGGCAGGCAACTCGGGAAGAATATTGTGTTTGACATGGATATGAGTGCTGGAGACTTTTTAGCTCTCTTGTATCTCCTGAAGTTACCTGTGGAAGTAATTAATCTCAAGGTATAAGTACAAACATATTTCTTTACTTTCAATGTCTTCTAGACTAGATGTAACTAAACTCTTTTAGTTGAATTGATAAGATTTTATATTAAATAAATAAAAATGTACCTCATCCATGTTTCGATTTTTAAGTTCTTATCAAATGGATGTACCTAGAGTTTTACAGGATGTTATAAACGAAGACTTAAAACAAAATATGTTATTTGTTAGTGCTTATGAAATATCAGTAATATATTGCGATTTTCGTTTAGGCAGTACTAGTTAGTCCAAATGGATGGGCAAATGCGGCAACAGTAGATGTCGTCTATGATTTGCTGCATATGATGGGGCGTGATGATATACCGGTTGGTCTAGGAGACTTGTTTGCACTCAACCAATCTGATCCAAATTCTTCTGGTGTTGGAGACTGCAAGTACATTAAAGCTATTCCACATGGTAGTGGTGGCTTTCTCGATTCAGATACTCTGTATGGACTGGCTCGTAATTTACCTCGAAGCCCTCGAAGGTACTAAAGTTCATTTTCCAAGTATTCTAGAAAATCAAAATTACTACAAGTGCAGGAGTGATATATCCTTCAATACTACTGAAAAGGACTATGTCTGCCAGAATAAAGCTCCTCTACTAGAAAATGCTTGACATGTTGGATGACAGATACTCACATTCGCGTGGGACCCGACCCGACCCCGCATGAATAAAAAATGCAAAAAACCGAGGCCCCCACCCCTTTTTGTGCTTACTCTGTCAAGAAGGGTGTAAAGCCCCTTCTGTACAACCAGCACGGTTGATGTCTACCAATTCAACCATAGCGCCTAGTCTTTTTCTTGTGTCAGAAGAGCAATCCCTCTTTCCTTTTTTTTCCACACGTCACCGCGAACTCTGTAAAATTGGAATTTTGATGTCAACTAAAATTTTCATCATTTGATGTTGGATGCACTACGACTTAACTCGGTGTTTTATCCCAGGTATACAGCAGAAAATTCAGTGAAATTTGATGCTCCTCGAGACACAGATCACCCTGAACTCAGACAACCACTGGCTCTGGAGATATGGGAATCAGTAGTGAAATCGCTTGATCCAGGATCAAAAGTAACCATTTTAACCAATGGTCCTTTAACTAATATAGCAAAGATTCTTGGTGCAGACAAGAATTTTAGATCTCTAATCCAGGTGATTTCCTTTGCATACTCTTTTAGTCAAAGAAGAAATTAAGATCTTGTTTTGTTATCTTATGCAGTCTTATCCTACGTCCCAAATATGTCGTAATTGCTCACATGACTTATTTTCCATTTCCGAAGGCTTTATAGTCTCCTTCAGCACCTTGTATCTTTCTCGCAATCAATAGTCCTGCTTGTTCTTTTATGATAATTTTGAAGAATACTGTGCAAAACTTAACCTTCTGTATGAATTCCTTTACTGCTTGAGACACCATACCACGTTAATTCTTTTTTGTGTTTGGTTGTCACATAAGAGAGCAATGTAGCTGTCTACTAATTCAAGACCATTAGAGTCTATTGAGTTTGCAGTATTAGAATTAGACTGGACAAAATTTTAATTCGTTTCCTTTCTTAATACCGTCCATATTATCCAATAATCAAAAGTAACCATTTTAACCAATGGTCCTTTAACTAATATAGCAAAGATTCTTGGTGCAGACAAGAATTTTAGATCTCTAATCCAGGTGATTTCCTTTGCATACTCTTTTAGTCAAAGAAGAAATTAAGATCTTGTTTTGTTATCTTATGCAGTCTTATCCTACGTCCCAAATATGTCGTAATTGCTCACATGACTTATTTTCCATTTCCGAAGGCTTTATAGTCTCCTTCAGCACCTTGTATCTTTCTCGCAATCAATAGTCCTGCTTGTTCTTTTATGATAATTTTGAAGAATACTGTGCAAAACTTAACCTTCTGTATGAATTCCTTTACTGCTTGAGACACCATACCACGTTAATTCTTTTTTGTGTTTGGTTGTCACATAAGAGAGCAATATAGCTGTCTACTAATTCAAGACCATTAGAGTCTATTGAGTTTGCAGTATTAGAATTAGACTGGACAAAATTTTAATTCGTTTCCTTTCTTAATACCGTCCATATTATCCAATTGGAGGGCTTTTGTTTTGTAATAGACAGGCAGTTTTTTAAAGTAAGGTACTTCTGGATGAAAATATAACAGAGATTTTTCAAGCTATGCAGGATATACTCATAGTTGGGGGCCATATCAACAATGACAAAAGTGACAAAGGAAATGTTATTAACATTCCTTCAAATGAATATGCAGAACTCAACATGTTTCTTGATCCCTTGGCAGCAAAAATGGTTTTTGATTCAGGTCTTAACATCACACTCATCCCTCTTGGCATCCAACAAAAAGTTAGCAGGTTTCAAAAAGTTCTTGAAAGGCTTTACTTGACAAAGAAGACACCTGAAACATTGTTTGCCAGGCGCTTAATTTCAAGATTGCATCAGTTGAAACAAACGCATCCTAGATATCAACATACGGTATGCAAAGTCCGATATCAGTTCTAGTCGTAAAAAATTATTAACTAAATGAATATGAGATAGAAACACTGGGAGGAATAGAGAATGTGTGTATTTTTATATCTAAAATTACGAAAAGAATAATAATCACAGAAAATCAGAAACTGGAGCTGGAGCTGGAATTGGTAACTACAATGAATGCACTATGGATATGATGTCGGAAATTGATAGGATTCTCATTTTTTTCATTTCCCGTTTTGCATCTCACTAAATTTCATTTTGTTTCAAGTTGGTCACTTGACTTTAACTTTTTTACAATTTGATCATGCTGCCCATGTCCATTAGTTTGACTAATGGAAAGTTGATGAGACAATCTACTTATTTGTCAACTAAACTGACACACTACGAGCTTTCCACTAGTCAAACTAAAGGACATGGATGCTGAGCAACTTGGGACTAAGTTTAAGATAGGTGAACATGTAACAAAATGAAGTTTGGTGACCCGTATAAAATTTTGTTGAAACTACCTTGAACGTGCTTGGACCTACTCAACTTGAACCAAGCTATGGTCCTAAGCTCGATAAGGTCGACTCTATAGCGACTATACCAAGATGGATTTTGACTCTCAATTTAGCCTTGTGTACCATTTCCACAGGGACCTTTTCTTTAACATCCCCTCAAGATTGCTGTCATTTTTATGCAGGATAAGTTTTTGGGTGAAATCCTTGGTGCGGTAATCTTGGCAGGTGACCATTTCACTCTGAAGACAACGTATGGAACTAGTCCTATAAGTGTGTTGGCAACAGGTGTTGAATCTGAAGATGGACAGATAACTACTGACCATGATCTAGCTGTCTACTAATTCAAGACCATTAGAGTCTATTGAGTTTGCAGTATTAGAATTAGACTGGACAAAATTTTAATTCGTTTCCTTTCTTAATACCGTCCATATTATCCAATAGGAGGGCTTTTGTTTTGTAATAGACAGGCAGTTTTTTAAAGTAAGGTACTTCTGGATGAAAATATAACAGAGATTTTTCAAGCTATGCAGGATATACTCATAGTTGGGGGCCATATCAACAATGACAAAAGTGACAAAGGAAATGTTATTAACATTCCTTCAAATGAATATGCAGAACTCAACATGTTTCTTGATCCCTTGGCAGCAAAAATGGTTTTTGATTCAGGTCTTAACATCACACTCATCCCTCTTGGCATCCAACAAAAAGTTAGCAGGTTTCAAAAAGTTCTTGAAAGGCTTTACTTGACAAAGAAGACACCTGAAACATTGTTTGCCAGGCGCTTAATTTCAAGATTGCATCAGTTGAAACAAACGCATCCTAGATATCAACATACGGTATGCAAAGTCCGATATCAGTTCTAGTCGTAAAAAATTATTAACTAAATGAATATGAGATAGAAACACTGGGAGGAATAGAGAATGTGTGTATTTTTATATCTAAAATTACGAAAAGAATAATAATCACAGAAAATCAGAAACTGGAGCTGGAGCTGGAATTGGTAACTACAATGAATGCACTATGGATATGATGTCGGAAATTGATAGGATTCTCATTTTTTTCATTTCCCGTTTTGCATCTCACTAAATTTCATTTTGTTTCAAGTTGGTCACTTGACTTTAACTTTTTTACAATTTGATCATGCTGCCCATGTCCATTAGTTTGACTAATGGAAAGTTGATGAGACAATCTACTTATTTGTCAACTAAACTGACACACTACGAGCTTTCCACTAGTCAAACTAAAGGACATGGATGCTGAGCAACTTGGGACTAAGTTTAAGATAGGTGAACATGTAACAAAATGAAGTTTGGTGACCCATATAAAATTTTGTTGAAACTACCTTGAACGTGCTTAGACCTTAGTTCTAGTCGTAAAAAATTATTAACTAAATGAATATGAGATAGAAACACTGGGAGGAATAGAGAATGTGTGTATTTTTATATCTAAAATTACGAAAAGAATAATAATCACAGAAAATCAGAAACTGGAGCTGGAGCTGGAATTGGTAACTACAATGAATGCACTATGGATATGATGTCGGAAATTGATAGGATTCTCATTTTTTTCATTTCCCGTTTTGCATCTCACTAAATTTCATTTTGTTTCAAGTTGGTCACATGACTTAAACTTTTTTACAATTTGATCATGCTGCCCATGTCCATTAGTTTGACTAATGGAAAGTTGATGAGACAATCTACTTATTTGTCAACTAAACTGACACACTACGAGCTTTCCACTAGTCAAACTAAAGGACATGGATGCTGATCAACTTGGGACTAAGTTTAAGATAGGTGAACATGTAACAAAATGAAGTTTGGTGACCCGTATAAAATTTTGTTGAAACTACCTTGAACGTGCTTGGACCTACTCAACTTGAACCAAGCTATGGTCCTAAGCTCGATAAGGTCGACTCTATAGCGACTATACCAAGATGGATTTTGACTCTCAATTTAGCCTTGTGTACCATTTCCACAGGGACCTTTTCTTTAACATCCCCTCAAGATTGCTGTCATTTTTATGCAGGATAAGTTTTTGGGTGAAATCCTTGGTGCGGTAATCTTGGCAGGTGACCATTTCACTCTGAAGACAACGTATGGAACTAGTCCTATAAGTGTGTTGGCAACAGGTGTTGAATCTGAAGATGGACAGATAACTACTGACCATGATCAAGGAAATTCAGTAAAAGTATTGGAAAATATCGATCCGGATGCTTATTGTGATATTTTGGCAAGTCGATTTGGGGACGAAAAACAATCTGCCATTGTTGGAAGCTTTGAAGAACAGAGAAGAATTTGGAATACACCAATTGGAAACTAAAACTGGCTTTTAAAGAAGGTCAAATTTCCAAAAAGTGCTGGTTTAGACCTTCTCAACTTGAACCAAGCTATGGTCCTAAGCTCGATAAGGTCGACTCTATAGCGACTATACCAAGATGGATTTTGACTCTCAATTTAGCCTTGTGTACCATTTCCACAGGGACCTTTTCTTTAACATCCCCTCAAGATTGCTGTCATTTTTATGCAGGATAAGTTTTTGGGTGAAATCCTTGGTGCGGTAATCTTGGCAGGTGACCATTTCACTCTGAAGACAACGTATGGAACTAGTTCTATAAGTGTGTTGGCAACAGGTGTTGAATCTGAAGATGGACAGATAACTACTGACCATGATCAAGGAAATTCAGTAAAAGTATTGGAAAATATCGATCCGGATGCTTATTATGATATTTTGGCAAGTCGATTTGGGGACGAAAAACAATCTGCCATTGTTGGAAGCTTTGAAGAACAGAGAAGAATTTGGAATACACCAAGTGGAAACTAAAACTGGCTTTTAAAGAAGGTCAAATTTCCAAAACGTGCTGGTTTTTCTTGTTCATTTTATGTGTTTTATATATCAGTTGTTACTTGCCAACATTTTATACAGAAATAAAGAAAGAAACTTTGCAATTTCAATACAAAACATACACAATACAATACAATACAACGAAAAGAAATTTATACATTTTTTGAACCACTTCATTTGGAATCCCTTCTATCATAGCTCTATATTACTGAATTTGCTTTTTTATTGGATGAACTGCACAATTCATTGCTGATATAGAACCCCAAAACCCAACCCCCAACCCCCCCCGGGGAAAAAAAAGGAGAAAAAGAGCTCTCCTAAATAGATTGTTTTACCAATATTGCCAAAGGGAATAATGCTGCCACAGGAGCAATAAAAAGGAGAAAAAGAGAAAAAGAAAGACGATAGGTACATCTAGAAATGGATAACCAACCTTTGTATGATTAAAATTGGATAAGTTTGAACTATAGTTCGAACTAGACTCTCCTAAATAGATTTTTTTACCAATATTGCCAAAGGGAATAATGCTGCCACAGGAGCAATTTTCTGTCCAGGAAATATAGACACAGATGTGAAGAGGAAGCGACAAATATTTGTATTACCATTTTGTATTGCTACAACTCAATAGACAATCTCGAGGAACTGCTTTTCCTAAGTAGTACTATAGAGAATACCAGAGACATTTTTTTCTTTTTTAAATACTTTATTAATAAGCCCTCACTTGTGGCGGAGGAATACCTCACATTTGCCTCTTGCCAATTTTTAAGTTAGATTGGTATAACTAAAATGCCCTTGTCAAAAACGTATGAAATTTTCTACTATTGGAAACAACTTCATTATAAATTATAAAATAGCAAAATCTACAAAAGGAAAAACAATAAAGAATTCACATATTAGTAACACAAACTAAAAGAAAAGGAAACTATATTTTTATTTATTAATGAGATCAATTTAAATTAGGAATTAATTAGAATTTAATTTGAGCTAGGTTCATTGGTTGTTAGTTATGAAAAAAGGCAGTTTTTATTGCCATTTTCTGGGTAGCAAAACAAATAAAATGAACAATTTAATGTTTATTTTCTTTCTTTCTACATAAAGTGTTGAAGTAATAATCAAGTAGTTGTCTTGCGCAAGAAAAAAATATGAAACGAAAATGGATATAGACCGCCATGATATCTTTGTAATAATGCTGTTTTACGTTGTACAAAGTTATCTAAAGGGATATTATGATGTAACATTCCATAAGATAACATGGTCATTATTTAATAATAAATTTGAGTGTACACAATGTTTCCGTGATTATTATTTAATAAATTTTGAGGACGTATAATGTTTTTATGAACAAACGTATGCTATTTTTTAGCTAAATTTTACTTGAATCCTGTAAAGAAAATATTTATATTTATCATCCTATAAAGAAAATATTCATTTACAAGTATTAAATGGTGAGTAAAATGTAATCCAAAGACGAATTATTATTCATTACACTAATTAAAACAAACCATAACAAGAAAACAAAGAAATTAAGTACTGGTTGATTTTATATTTTTCTAATTATATACTAAAATAAGCAATTTAATAATTATGGAACGAATAAGGAAAAATGTGGAAATCAATTGTTTGAGCTCCATTTTTGTCATAAAAATGCATTTTTAAACTGTGTATTGATGTGAAATGTGTGATTAAAAAATTTGAGTGTAATATTATTTTATTGAAGAATGTATGATTGAAATTTAAAAATGCATCTTTTTCCAAATAATTTTAAGTTCTTATTTCACTAATTAACCTTACTCATATTCAATTCATATATGAGTTGAATTATTTGTTGCCAGTCAGTAAATCTAAAATAAAATACTAAGGTTCATTTTTCAAGTACTAGTTAACATGTCCATAAATATAAAACTTTCCTATCCTCAATAATAGTTTACAAGATTGATGCAATGTAAACTTAAGACAACCACTTGAAACAAGTAGAAATCTTTCATTAACCACATTAAAAGTAGAAATCTCTCAATTTAGTACAAATTCATGAAAATTAAGATTAGGTGTTCCAATATATAATCTTCGATTAAACATGTAACATATCTAATGTAATAAATATCTCGATAACAAACATGAAAATTAATAAATTATAGAAATTCAACAATTTAATAAATAGAAGTTCAAATGATTTAAAATATGAATAGAAGTAAATTAGCTACGTTCGTTCTAACAAATAATCTTAGCCCAAAAAGATGGCGAAGGAATCAAAACTAGAAGAAGTTCACACAAACATCGCCCATTTATTTTAGAAACAAGAAGATGTAATGAATCTCTTTAATCTCGAACCCGAAATTTTGGAAGCGTCCACTTCAATAATTCCTTGGATCTTCTCTCGTTTTCTCCTCCCAAAACCTAAATCGATGCCTAATTAGGAGCCCAAGCTGAAAAATCACATTTTCTTCCTAAAACCGGACTAAAATTGCACATTTCGAAGCATCGACCCTTCAAGTTTTGCTTCCATCTATTTAGGTCCCAAATTGTCAAGGTTGATTCCCTATATTCTGGTTTCATCTATTTTGGTCTCCAAACTCATTAAGAGTTCAATTTCGACCAAAAAATTTGGGAAAATCTTCCAATTCTTCCAATCAAATCCCAAGACTTTGCAGTTTTCATCAGACGCCATCTTGTTGTCCAATTAATACTTCAAATCACTCCATTTTGCTTTGTTTGTCTTCAAATTGTAGATTTAGCCTATAAAAGTCAAATATAACATAAAGTGAGTAAAAATTCGTTCAATTAATCAATTTTAAAGCTAATTTATGCGTTCGAGAAGAATCAGCATACGTATGAGGCACAATACTGCTTCATGTCCTTGAAAATGGCTCGGGATACTTGGTTTGATGATCAATTTTACACGGTAGACTAATTGAAAACATTGCGTTGAGTAAACAGAGTTCATTCAAACACTAAGTAGATGAGACTTACTGATTGAAATCTCATTTATGACAGAGTTATTTTATGTGGGATTCATTTACAATCGGCGTAGCTACTTCAATCATGCGTAATGGAAAACCCCAAAATGGAGAAAACGAATTTGCTGAGATGGAGTATATGAATATTACTGTCATTACCTCAAATAAGCCTTATCAAATATCTGATGGCTCAAATCCATTCTTTGACGGGTTGAAAGTTCCTAAATTCAACTTAAAGAGAAATGGAGTCCACAGTGGCCATGTTCAGACAGGAATTCGAGATCCATTTTGCCTAGTAAAGAATGGAAAGGGCAGATGCAAGGTAAGTATATGCCTCTTATTTGTAGCTAATGAGAAATATGTTTTTTCTTCCTTTGCTTCTCCTCGATGAAGTTAGCACAGTGTTAGAAAACTACTAAGGATTATGTATGCTTCAATACCACTTGCTAGGAATCGAGCCCTTGGTTGTGAAGAATTACGTATCACATTGATACCACTTATTAACAAATCTAACCAAGTAGTTGCATGCTCTAATACCACTTGTAAGAGAATAACGAGATATGACAGAATATGAAGTAAAGATTACAACACAAGAACACAACGAATTAACGTGGAAAACACTATGGGTGGAGAAGGAGAATTTTATTCATGAGAAGAGAAAAGATACAATAAATTTTATTCTAATTCTATAAAATGAAGTCTAAATGCTTGTTTGAGCCCAAATTTTTTCAAGAATGCACTTTTTCAAAACTTATTTTCAACCACATATTCTTCTATAAAATAATTATACACATATTTTAAAAAAATTTCCTTACTTTTTAATCACACATTCTTCAAAAAATTATTATTGCATAATGAATTTTATCCCAAAAACGGATATCAAACAGGGGCTAAGACTTTATTCAAAGCCAATAATCACATGGAGTATATATGGGTCCTAAAGAAATTTATTATAGATGGAAAGAGGAAAAAAGACAAGCTAGAAAAAGAAAACTATGTTTCCCGGAATAACACTATCGATAAGACCCAGGCGGGCAGCACGCAGCGCTCGAGCAAAAAAGCAAGCGGTAGTCCAAAGCCTCTAATGATGCTCAGGAGCCTTGTTTCGTGTCCAAAATCATTTTTTTTTTCTTCGTGAATGGCGGCTAGAGGCCCAAATTGATGTTTCTAAAACTCCAGTGTCTAATTTTGATTCCTCTAATATCATTCTTCAAACAGTCCACCAAAAAATCCAACGGAGTTTGGGTCAAACTTCAACAAATGTCCACCTAAACAAATTCCAATACAATGAACAAACTTCGAAAATTTTCACCTTGTGACAAATTCCACTACAAAGAATAAACGAATAACTCTTCAACAAAACCCTCCAACATAAATTTCTCTACCTCTTCCACAAAACCTAACTAGGGCAAACACAATAATAATAATAAAATCAACTGAATCCAAGCACCGTTCAATAATTATCTCCACAAAAGACAAAATCACAAATAATTTAATAATCACCAAACAGGGTAAAACCACGCCATGAAACAGAAGCAATACTACCAAATGTTTTGTAGAAGGTTCTTTGCTAGACTCAATATGTTAACCACACTTAAAGCATACATAACTAAAACAGCTTCCCCGTACCTCTATGTAGGCCTAATATCTCTCGTAGGTCTGTCTCTAGCAATTGAATACGATGACATTGCTGGTGGTGACAAAGCAGCATTATCCATAATCTCTAAACTAGACTGAGATGTATTCTTCAAAATGGATCCCAAACCAAACTCCAACACTATTGTAACAAATTGAATATTCACCAAAGTACTAAACCTCTGTTGATTGATCCAAAAATTCTGTATAACCAAGCACTACTTATGATCAAAATTAACATGGGTACCAAATTTGCTTGAATCACGAACAACAATAAAAAACTAATTCCACCCGAGCTAGTAGCAGGTTCCTCAATGCCAAATTTGCTCGAATCACAAGCAACCCGATCACAACCAACTTCATCAAAGTCAATTCTTATTTAACTATAAGAAACCAAATTAACCTCATCAAACCGCTCATGAGGTCTAATCTTCAATTTAGTGATAGTTGTGTCAAACATGATAGTCAAACCTTCCAAGACATATAATTCGATTTTTACGTTGCTTTTCCTCCAGCATCCAAACAAAAACTGCCATAACTAAAAAGCCTTGTTTCAATCCAAAAGTGGAGTATCAAACTTCATACTTGCCATCCTGATTATCAAACCTTGCTATAAAACGAAACCAAAAATGTTGTCCCATAAAATTGCCAAACATTGGCTCTGATACCACTTGTTAGAAAACTAGCAAGGACTATGTATGCTAAAATACCCCTTGCTAGAAATTGAGCTCTTGGTTGTGAAAAATTACAAATCGCATTGAAACCACTTGTTAACCAATTCAACAAAGTAGTTGCACGTGCTTATACCATTTGTTAGAGAATAGTGAGATATGATAGAATATGAATTAAAGATCACAATACAAGAACGCAAAGAATTAACGTGGAAAACACCATAGGTAAAGGATGAGAATTTTATTCATAAGGAGAAAAAAAATACAATGAATTGTATTCTAATTCTATACAATGAAGTCTAAGACCTAATTCAAAGTCAATAATCACATGAAGTATATATACGACTTAAAGGAATATATTATAGATGGAAAGATGATAAAAAGAAGCTAGAAAAATGAAAACAATATTTCTCGAAATAAAATTGCCGCTTGAGCTACAGGCAAGCACCAGACGCATGACAGGCGGAGCTCGAGCGAAAAAGCAGGCGGTGAGCTTGCATCAACCTAGTGCCATGAACGACTCTCCGGCGCCTTGTTTCGAGTCGAAACTTCGTTTGTTCTTCATGAATGGCGTCAAAGGGCCCAAAATGATGCTCTACTTTGATCCCTCTAATACAATTCTTCAAACGGTCTACCAAAAAACCCAACGGGAGAATAATTTGTTATGGATAAATCCCTAATCTCAGTTACTAGATCATTAATAAATGGAATGAAAAAAAAAAAAAAAAACCACACGGGAAGGTAAACAAACAAAATATAAGGGCTTCACCTCAATGTGAGAGCTGAAGTACAGTAGAGCTATTGATTCTGTTTTCCATTTTTGGCTTAATGCTGCTATTCTTACATATCATGTTTACTTCTTCTTCTCCAACGTAATGCATAATTTTATCAGGATGGCTATACGAAAGAAGTGGCGGGTCGAGAAGCAGTGCCTGTGCTTGTTGCTGTTAGAGCAAAGCCTGATAATGACAATAGCAGCTCCTTAACAAGAGAATTTTATAAAAGCTTTCTAGATGTAAGTTGCAGAATTTTTTCCAAGCAATTCATTGTCTGAATTATATTCAGCACATAATATTTACATTTAATTAAGCTATTGATACCTTATTTTCGTCACTGTTAAAGGTCCTAAACCGGCCTCAGCAAAGCGGGAGGTTCAATTTTACTACACAATTTCTTCATTACAAAGCAATTCTTTACAAACCAGATTTCCAGGGCAGGCAACTCGGGAAGAATATTGTGTTTGACATGGATATGAGTGCTGGAGACTTTTTAGCTCTCTTGTATCTCCTGAAGTTACCTGTGGAAGTAATTAATCTCAAGGTATAAGTACAAACATATTTCTTTACTTTCAATGTCTTCTAGACTAGATGTAACTAAACTCTTTTAGTTGAATTGATAAGATTTTATATTAAATAAATAAAAATGTACCTCATCCATGTTTCGATTTTTAAGTTCTTATCAAATGGATGTACCTAGAGTTTTACAGGATGTTATAAACGAAGACTTAAAACAAAATATGTTATTTGTTAGTGCTTATGAAATATCAGTAATATATTGCGATTTTCGTTTAGGCAGTACTAGTTAGTCCAAATGGATGGGCAAATGCGGCAACAGTAGATGTCGTCTATGATTTGCTGCATATGATGGGGCGTGATGATATACCGGTTGGTCTAGGAGACTTGTTTGCACTCAACCAATCTGATCCAAATTCTTCTGGTGTTGGAGACTGCAAGTACATTAAAGCTATTCCACATGGTAGTGGTGGCTTTCTCGATTCAGATACTCTGTATGGACTGGCTCGTAATTTACCTCGAAGCCCTCGAAGGTACTAAAGTTCATTTTCCAAGTATTCTAGAAAATCAAAATTACTACAAGTGCAGGAGTGATATATCCTTCAATACTACTGAAAAGGACTATGTCTGCCAGAATAAAGCTCCTCTACTAGAAAATGCTTGACATGTTGGATGACAGATACTCACATTCGCGTGGGACCCGACCCGACCCCGCATGAATAAAAAATGCAAAAAACCGAGGCCCCCACCCCTTTTTGTGCTTACTCTGTCAAGAAGGGTGTAAAGCCCCTTCTGTACAACCAGCACGGTTGATGTCTACCAATTCAACCATAGCGCCTAGTCTTTTTCTTGTGTCAGAAGAGCAATCCCTCTTTCCTTTTTTTTCCACACGTCACCGCGAACTCTGTAAAATTGGAATTTTGATGTCAACTAAAATTTTCATCATTTGATGTTGGATGCACTACGACTTAACTCGGTGTTTTATCCCAGGTATACAGCAGAAAATTCAGTGAAATTTGATGCTCCTCGAGACACAGATCACCCTGAACTCAGACAACCACTGGCTCTGGAGATATGGGAATCAGTAGTGAAATCGCTTGATCCAGGATCAAAAGTAACCATTTTAACCAATGGTCCTTTAACTAATATAGCAAAGATTCTTGGTGCAGACAAGAATTTTAGATCTCTAATCCAGGTGATTTCCTTTGCATACTCTTTTAGTCAAAGAAGAAATTAAGATCTTGTTTTGTTATCTTATGCAGTCTTATCCTACGTCCCAAATATGTCGTAATTGCTCACATGACTTATTTTCCATTTCCGAAGGCTTTATAGTCTCCTTCAGCACCTTGTATCTTTCTCGCAATCAATAGTCCTGCTTGTTCTTTTATGATAATTTTGAAGAATACTGTGCAAAACTTAACCTTCTGTATGAATTCCTTTACTGCTTGAGACACCATACCACGTTAATTCTTTTTTGTGTTTGGTTGTCACATAAGAGAGCAATGTAGCTGTCTACTAATTCAAGACCATTAGAGTCTATTGAGTTTGCAGTATTAGAATTAGACTGGACAAAATTTTAATTCGTTTCCTTTCTTAATACCGTCCATATTATCCAATTGGAGGGCTTTTGTTTTGTAATAGACAGGCAGTTTTTTAAAGTAAGGTACTTCTGGATGAAAATATAACAGAGATTTTTCAAGCTATGCAGGATATACTCATAGTTGGGGGCCATATCAACAATGACAAAAGTGACAAAGGAAATGTTATTAACATTCCTTCAAATGAATATGCAGAACTCAACATGTTTCTTGATCCCTTGGCAGCAAAAATGGTTTTTGATTCAGGTCTTAACATCACACTCATCCCTCTTGGCATCCAACAAAAAGTTAGCAGGTTTCAAAAAGTTCTTGAAAGGCTTTACTTGACAAAGAAGACACCTGAAACATTGTTTGCCAGGCGCTTAATTTCAAGATTGCATCAGTTGAAACAAACGCATCCTAGATATCAACATACGGTATGCAAAGTCCGATATCAGTTCTAGTCGTAAAAAATTATTAACTAAATGAATATGAGATAGAAACACTGGGAGGAATAGAGAATGTGTGTATTTTTATATCTAAAATTACGAAAAGAATAATAATCACAGAAAATCAGAAACTGGAGCTGGAGCTGGAATTGGTAACTACAATGAATGCACTATGGATATGATGTCGGAAATTGATAGGATTCTCATTTTTTTCATTTCCCGTTTTGCATCTCACTAAATTTCATTTTGTTTCAAGTTGGTCACATGACTTAAACTTTTTTACAATTTGATCATGCTGCCCATGTCCATTAGTTTGACTAATGGAAAGTTGATGAGACAATCTACTTATTTGTCAACTAAACTGACACACTACGAGCTTTCCACTAGTCAAACTAAAGGACATGGATGCTGATCAACTTGGGACTAAGTTTAAGATAGGTGAACATGTAACAAAATGAAGTTTGGTGACCCGTATAAAATTTTGTTGAAACTACCTTGAACGTGCTTAGACCTTCTCAACTTGAACCAAGCTATGGTCCTAAGCTCGATAAGGTCGACTCTATAGCGACTATACCAAGATGGATTTTGACTCTCAATTTAGCCTTGTGTACCATTTCCACAGGGACCTTTTCTTTAACATCCCCTCAAGATTGCTGTCATTTTTATGCAGGATAAGTTTTTGGGTGAAATCCTTGGTGCGGTAATCTTGGCAGGTGACCATTTCACTCTGAAGACAACGTATGGAACTAGTTCTATAAGTGTGTTGGCAACAGGTGTTGAATCTGAAGATGGACAGATAACTACTGACCATGATCAAGGAAATTCAGTAAAAGTATTGGAAAATATCGATCCGGATGCTTATTATGATATTTTGGCAAGTCGATTTGGGGACGAAAAACAATCTGCCATTGTTGGAAGCTTTGAAGAACAGAGAAGAATTTGGAATACACCAAGTGGAAACTAAAACTGGCTTTTAAAGAAGGTCAAATTTCCAAAACGTGCTGGTTTTTCTTGTTCATTTTATGTGTTTTATATATCAGTTGTTACTTGCCAACATTTTATACAGAAATAAAGAAAGAAACTTTGCAATTTCAATACAAAACATACACAATACAATACAATACAACGAAAAGAAATTTATACATTTTTTGAACCACTTCATTTGGAATCCCTTCTATCATAGCTCTATATTACTGAATTTGCTTTTTTATTGGATGAACTGCACAATTCATTGCTGATATAGAACCCCAAAACCCAACCCCCAACCCCCCCCGGGGAAAAAAAAGGAGAAAAAGAGCTCTCCTAAATAGATTGTTTTACCAATATTGCCAAAGGGAATAATGCTGCCACAGGAGCAATTTTCTGTCCAGGAAATATAGACACGATGTGGCCCCCCAGGGCACTTCTCCACTGGCAAAGGACGGACGCTGTCAAACCTGGCAGAGTAGAGGTCGTGAGTTCGAAACATGGAGCTCTTGGAAGGCAAGAATTTATTCTTGGAAGGCAAGGGAACGTTTGGAAGGCAAGGATTTATTCTTGGAAGGCAAGTGGGAACTTGGAAGGCAAGAATTATTCTTGGAAGGCAAGGTGCAACTTGGATTGGCTTGCTTGGCACTTTGTCAGACCAGGTGGGGAGCGCTCGGACCCTGGCCAGTTGGAGGCACATCCTGCGATTAACCGGACTGTGTGAAGAGGGGCCGGATCACAGACCCAAGAATTAGTCTAGAATAGGACACCTTGTAAAAAAAATATATATATATATAGACACGATGTGAAGAGGAAGCGACAACTATTTGTATTACCATTTTGTATTGCTACAACTCAATAGACAATCTCGAGGAACTGCTTTTCCTAAGTAGTACTATAGAGAATACCAGAGACATTTTTTTTTTTAAATACTTTATTAATAAGCCCTCCCTTGTGACGGAGAAATACCTCACATTCGCCTCTTGCCAATTTTTAAGTTAGATTGGTATAACTAAAATGCTCGTCAAAAACATATAAAATTTTCTACTATTGAAAACAACTTCATTATAAATTATAAAATAGCAAAATCTACAAAAGGAAAAACAATAAAGAATTCACATATCAGTAACACAAACTAAAAGAAAAGGAAACTAATTTTTTTTTTTAATTGATGGGATCAATTTAAATTAGGAATTAATTAGAATTTAATTTGAGCTAGGTTCATTGGTTGTTAGTTATGAAAAAATGCAGTTTTTATTGCCATTTTCGGGGTAGCATAACAAATAAAATGAACAATTTAATGTTTATGTTCTTTCTTTCAACATAAAGCGTTGAAGTAATAATCAAGTAGTTGTCTTGTGCAAGAAAAAAATATGAAACGAAAATTGATATAGACCGCCATGATATCTTTGTAATAATGTTGTTTTACGTTGTACAAAGTTATCTAAAGGGATATTATGATGTAACATTCCATAAGATAACATGGTCATTATTTAATAATAAATTTGAGTGTACAAAATGTTTTCGTGATTATTATTTAATAAATTTTGAGGACGTATAAATGTTTTTATGAACGAACGTATGCTATTTTTTAGCTAAATTTTACTTGAATCCTGTAAAGAAAATATTTATATTTATCATCCTATAAAGAAAATATTCATTTACAAGTATTAAATGGTGAGTAAAGTGTAATCCAAAGAGGAATTATTATTCATTACACTAATTAAAACAAACCATAACAAGAAAACAAAGAAATTAAGTACTGGTTGATTTTATGTTTTTCTAATTATCAACTAAAATAAGTAATTTAATAATTATGGAACGAATAAGGAAAGATGTGGAAATCAATTGTTTGAGCCCCATTTTTGTCATAAAAATGCATTTTTAAACTGTGTATTGATGTGAAATGTGTGATTAAAAAATAAAGAAAAATTTTAAATTTGAGTGTAATATTATTTTATTGAAAAATGTATGATTGAAATTTAAAAATGCATCTTTTTCCAAATAATTTTAAGTTCTTATTTCACTAATTAACCTTACTCATATTCAATTCATATATGAGTTCAATTATTTGTTGCCAGTCAGTAAATCTAAAATAAAATACTAAGGTTCATTTTTCAAGTACTAGTTAACATGTCCATAAATATAAAACTTTCCTATCCTCAATAATAGTTTACAAGATTGATGCGATGTAAACTTAAGAAAACCACTTGAAACAAGTAGAAATCTTTCATTAACCACATTAAAAGTAGGAGTCTCTCAATTTAGCAGCAAATTCATGAAAATTAAGATTAGGTGTTCTAATGTATAATCTTCGATTAAACGTGTAACATATCTAATGTAATAAATATCTCGATAACAAACATGAAAATTAATAAATTATAGAAATTCAACAATTTAATAAATAGAAGTTCAAATGATTTAAAATATGAATAGAAGTAAATTAGCTACGTTCGTTCTAACAAATAATCTTAGCCCAAAAAGATGGCGAAGGAATCAAAACTAGAAGAAGTTCACACAAACATCGCCCATTTATTTTAGGAACAAGAAGATGTAATGAATCTCTTTAATCTCGAACCCGAAATTTTGGAAGCATCCACTTCAATAATTCCTTGGATCTTCTCTCGTTTTCTCCTCCCAAAACCTAAATCGATGCCTAATTAGGAGCCCAAGCTGAAAAATCACATTTTCTTCCTAAAACCGGACTGTTGAAAAATTGCACATTTCGAAGCATCGACCCTTCAAGTTTTGCTTCCATCTATTTAGGTCCCAAATTGTCAAGGTTGATTCCCTATTTTCTGGTTTCATCTATTTTGGTCTCCAAACTCATTAAGAGTTCAATTTCGACCAAAAAATTTGGGAAAATCTTCCAATTCTTCCAATCAAATCCCAAGACTTTGCAGTTTTCATCAGACGCCATCTTGTTGTCCAATTAATACTTCAAATCACTCCATTTTGCTTTGTTTGTCTTCAAATTGTAGATTTAGCCTATAAAAGTCAAATATAACATAAAGTGAGTAAAAATTCGTTCAATTAATCAATTTTAAAGCTAATTTAAAACCTAGATAAATGTGTAAAAAATACACTATCGCTTACTACTAAAGGAAACAAATTATATTATTATTAACAGTAGAAATTTTCAGCCTTTTTTTTTTTTCCGCGAGGACATTTTAAGTATATTAACCAAATTTTATGAGTCATGACTAAAAAGTGGTCATGGGGTAAATATGATATTCAAACTTAGAAATATGATATGTCAGTATGATTAATTTAATGTCACGGAGTGTGTCTAATATTGTGATAAAGTTCAAGGAGTGCCTTTAATGCTATCTCAGTAATGTGTTGTTCTACTCATCTGTTGGGTTAAGTAGGGTTGGGCAAAACTCCCGAACCGAATCGAATTGAACGGTTCTTCTTAAGTTAAATATTCAAATGGATATCGAAATCGAGAATAGACGGGTTCGGTTTGGTTCTCGATTTCTACATCAAGAACCGAATCGCTCTAATATTATTTATTTATTTATTTTTAAAAGCGAAATTATTTTATTTTTTAAAATAAATTTGCTAACTAATTAATTTAGCTCAAATCCCAAAATATGATTTTTCTATTTCTAATTTTCAGTCCTCTAATTATATACTAAAATAAGCAATTTAATAATTATGGAACGAATAAGGAAAAATGTGGAAATCAATTGTTTGAGCTCCATTTTTGTCATAAAAATGCATTTTTAAACTGTGTATTGATGTGAAATGTGTGATTAAAAAATTTGAGTGTAATATTATTTTATTGAAGAATGTATGATTGAAATTTAAAAATGCATCTTTTTCCAAATAATTTTAAGTTCTTATTTCACTAATTAACCTTACTCATATTCAATTCATATATGAGTTGAATTATTTGTTGCCAGTCAGTAAATCTAAAATAAAATACTAAGGTTCATTTTTCAAGTACTAGTTAACATGTCCATAAATATAAAACTTTCCTATCCTCAATAATAGTTTACAAGATTGATGCAATGTAAACTTAAGACAACCACTTGAAACAAGTAGAAATCTTTCATTAACCACATTAAAAGTAGAAATCTCTCAATTTAGTACAAATTCATGAAAATTAAGATTAGGTGTTCCAATATATAATCTTCGATTAAACATGTAACATATCTAATGTAATAAATATCTCGATAACAAACATGAAAATTAATAAATTATAGAAATTCAACAATTTAATAAATAGAAGTTCAAATGATTTAAAATATGAATAGAAGTAAATTAGCTACGTTCGTTCTAACAAATAATCTTAGCCCAAAAAGATGGCGAAGGAATCAAAACTAGAAGAAGTTCACACAAACATCGCCCATTTATTTTAGAAACAAGAAGATGTAATGAATCTCTTTAATCTCGAACCCGAAATTTTGGAAGCGTCCACTTCAATAATTCCTTGGATCTTCTCTCGTTTTCTCCTCCCAAAACCTAAATCGATGCCTAATTAGGAGCCCAAGCTGAAAAATCACATTTTCTTCCTAAAACCGGACTAAAATTGCACATTTCGAAGCATCGACCCTTCAAGTTTTGCTTCCATCTATTTAGGTCCCAAATTGTCAAGGTTGATTCCCTATATTCTGGTTTCATCTATTTTGGTCTCCAAACTCATTAAGAGTTCAATTTCGACCAAAAAATTTGGGAAAATCTTCCAATTCTTCCAATCAAATCCCAAGACTTTGCAGTTTTCATCAGACGCCATCTTGTTGTCCAATTAATACTTCAAATCACTCCATTTTGCTTTGTTTGTCTTCAAATTGTAGATTTAGCCTATAAAAGTCAAATATAACATAAAGTGAGTAAAAATTCGTTCAATTAATCAATTTTAAAGCTAATTTAAAACCTAGATAAATGTGTAAAAAATACACTATCGCTTACTACTAAAGGAAACAAATTATATTATTATTAACAGTAGAAATTTTCAGCCTTTTTTTTTTTTTTTCCGCGAGGACATTTTAAGTATATTAACCAAATTTTATGAGTCATGACTAAAAAGTGGTCATGGGGTAAATATGATATTCAAACTTAGAAATATGATATGTCAGTATGATTAATTTAATGTCACGGAGTGTGTCTAATATTGTGATAAAGTTCAAGGAGTGCCTTTAATCTTATGAATAAT